TGGGACGATGCAATCGCTGTTTTGGAAAAATGTTATGCGAATCTCAAACCACACCAACTTGAGACAGCTAAGCTAATCATATTAGAGGAGAAATTCTACGACCTTTTGCACGCTGATAATGTAAGTTTCTAGAAACTTCATTTTTTTGTACGTTCACATCCGTTTATCTTTTTTTTCTTTTCTATAAATTGCATTCCTGCTGTTTGCCTCATTGAATTATCTTAGCTTCAGCAAGGTAGTTCGTAGTGTTTTTTTCTTCCTTTTTTGCGAAAACTGCTTTACTGCGAATGGCTTGCTAGTACCACTGGATACAAACAAACTGATGGATACAATTGATATGAAGTCATTGAAGTGACTCATTTAAAGACACCGATGGCCTTGCGATTACTTCGTGAAGAGTTCCCTAATACACCTGTTGTGCGGGAAAAACGCTCCAGTATGATTCGGATGCTTTTCATGGACAAACAACAATTAGCCGAAGTTCCAGAAGCTATGCGTTACAGGTGTGCAAAAAGTTTGATCTTTTTGGGTTTGGTTGCTCATCTACTTTTGAATTACGTTCAAACAGACGTTCTGCATGGTTTAAACTAGTTTGTTACATGATATTGAACAAGTGCGCTTAGATTTGAATCCTGCTATTATACTGTAATACGTTTTGATGGAAAATTTCTCGTAATGTCGTCAAAGTGATAACTTGTTTGTTCTGCCTAAATGTCACTCATCAATCTATTTTTTGTATACCATGATGTGAGTCCTTCTTCCTCCACGGCTATTTTGCTGTTTCCAGCGGCAGTTATTGATTACTGTCAGCACTGCAGGGTGCTGGGAGAAAACAGCGTAAACGCTCCGGTCCAAACACATGTTGTTGCCCTAGTTTTGGTCTTAATACCAACTTGTTGTGCGATGGAATAATATGCGAGTAGCAGAGTTACCTTTGCGTTATTTTTACTTGGCAAAATCACTATCGATATGTGCACTAAACTACTTAGCAACTATACGACTTCTGAACCTTTAGTTAATTCGTAAACAAATGAAATGCGATTTAATAAAGTTATAATGCGGTATTGCTTTATGCTGAATAATGTCCCCCCTCCGTGGATTTGCTGGTTCAATGCTCAATTCACTATTAAAAATGATATGGTTGTTTGAGAGCACTTTTTGCCTAATGTGTCTTGTGGGTATGGTAAGGCTAGGTCTCTAGCGCCTATTTGACTACTTTGCTGTGTACTTATCTCACTGAAGTTAGATGTTGTAATGCTTATGCTGCCAGCACGTAGGTCATCTTGATCATGTCATCGTTGATCGTGCATCTGGACTCTTACTTTGTGCTTACGGTGGCAATTTAGCTTTGATAATGTAACACTTCTCAAAACAGATGAATGATAATTGCGGAAGTTGTTTACAAATGGCTTTTCCGAGGCATTTGATTCACAACTGAACATTACTGTATAAAGCCGAATAACATGCATGGCTCTTTAATCAAATGTAAGATTACCAGTTCATTGAAGGTTATTCAATGCTACTTGTATCTCAACAGATCTTACCAACCTGAACACTGTGGTCATACACGTTGAAGTTGATACCTATCAGTGCTTCATGTAGAATGTGTGGGATTAGTGTCCTAATCGCATGCCTCGTTGAAGAGTTCTTCGCGCTGTTGCTCGCAAACTTCATTTCCAACTCTTGCTCGCATAACTTCATTTCCAACTCTTAAGAGACGCTTGTCAGGTTTTGTTCTTTCATTGCCTTTTGTTAGTGGTGAGTAGGGCAGTTGGTAAAATATAAAACACTCTATCTGCACGAACGCTATAGCTGTTTCGTATGTAAGTCTACTATGAGCGAAGTATACTGTACTATTGTTCATATTGTGTCGGAATTATCTCTGGGTTGGATCACATCTTCTATGTTCTGTTTCAAAGAATATTGAGTGAGGAGTAGCTTGTAATCGATCTCTTTAGTTTCAAACACACAAAAATTGTTTTCTGAACCTTCCCTTTCCAGTTTATTCAAAACGCTTATGACATTTAAGGACAAAGAAGGATCGACGCAAACTTGTCATTAAAGTGCAACGGGTGTTACCTGCTACCTTTATTCTTCCACCAGCTAGACTCGAACAGCTTTTGGATCAAGGTCAGTAGTACTTTGTATCCTCAGTATATTGTTATTTGCCATCACTTCAGCCCACGCCACTCAAGTCTCGAAATGCAGGGTACATCTCAAAAAAGAAACATCGGAAGGCTTAGAAGCTCCAGATATTTTTGTTGACCACAGCTGTCAAAAACGATCTTCCCGAGGATACGTTAACACTCAGGTGATGAGACGGTGTAACCTGACACTTGTATGATTTCTAGAACTAGTTTATGATTTTTTTTTTGCCAATCAATCTTGCTTAATTGCTTCGTGGTGTTATCAGCATAAGGGAAGAACTGCCTTTGAGACTAAAATATCACAGAACTATTCAAAGTCACATCAGAAAGACATCTTTTACACATGGTAGTATTATCTCATTCTGTTTTTTGACTGACATTCCTCGTTCTCCCTTTGCTTACTTCACTTTATATTCTGAACATATTTTTAGACTATTGGCGACCATAAATGTGAGGTGTGGTGCGTTGAGTTCTCTCCTGACGGTAAGCTACTCGCCAGTTGCTCTAAGTCAAGTCGCATCTTCATCCATACGGTATGTTGGAGATTCTTTGCTAGTTTCTTTTTTGTAAAAACCAAACATTTTTCTTTTTCACAAATGTGTTAGAGGAATACTACATCTCTCTCTTAGATATTGTATCTTTGCAACTGTAATTTAGTCAACTCAACTTTGAGGCCACGCTTACAATGCTTCAGTTAACTAGGTGTTCATCAGAGGGTAATTTTCGGAGTTTAGCCAGAGTTTTGACGTCGGGGTCATAATATAAAAACTTTGCTTCACTGCCACCGTTATTGTGACTCTTGTTTATATAAAGATTTTAAATGAGCTTTACACTCAAATTTCATATAGAAGTGATTTTTCCCAGTAATCTTTTTCTTATAGTCTCTTTTGTTCGGCGCGATTTCAATCGACTAAATTTTCAACGTACTTCCCAACTTATTACAGTTTCTCATTATAACGGCTGATACGCTTGCTTTCACGTGCAATGCTTTGTTTTTCCCCCATTTTCTCTCTTTTCAAATCACGTACGACAACTTGCAGGTTACTTCTGGCGGCGAAAAGGTGGAGTTATTACATCTTCTTTCTGGATATGACACTGCTGATGTTGTGTCATGTATGAGTTGGAGTGGCGACAGCAAGCTGTTAGCCGTTGCTTGTACGGAACAAGCTCCATTTGACGTAGGCTTCTTCCTAGTGATTTACTGCTGTCTTGCTTTGTGTTTTTTTTTTTAACGAATGTATCAATTATGTGTTCTCTAGATTATGGTTTTTGCTGCTAAGGAAGGACGAATGCTACGCACCATTAACAACTTGCCAAATTCTCTTTTTACTACTTGTGCCTTTTTCAATGCTCCTAATTATGTTCTCATTGCTGGAGACGAGCGAGGGCATTTGCAGATCTGTGTAAGTATCTGTTGATTTTTTTAAAATAGAATCTTTACTTTGTTAATTTACGACTCCCCGTTGCCATGGTTTCATTCTTAGTGAAGAAGAGAAATCGATTTGTTTTGTTTTTCTCTTTTCCCTTCTGTGCGGGTAGTTCTATGATTTTCTGCAGGATATCAAACAACCCTCAGAAGGACATGTCCTTGGTCTTTGGGAAGGTTACCGCATTCGCGGTGTCTACGGCATGAGCGACTGTGTCACAGTTCTTGCCTCCGATACGCATCATAGGTGAGGCGTTTACACGCAATCCACCTATGGCGACCCAAGTAACTACAGATTTTAAAACTTGGTCATCTTCTAGGCTTCGGCGGTACCGCTTCGATAATCGCGTTGATGAGACAGTTTTCACAGAAGAGGTACCAATCATATCATTTCGGGTACACCCTAACGAGAGGTTCGTGGCAATTTTGGCTTGCTTGTTGTGTTTCATTAGCGTCTCTTTCAGGTTTGTTCTCACAACAACACAACGAAATCTTCGTATGTGGGACCTACAATCAAAGACTTTAGTTAGGAATTTCTATGGAGCTCAACAAGGAAATTTAGTAATTCATGCCGGTTTTGGTGGAATCAACCATGGATATCTCGCTACAGGAACTGAAGGTAATCTGAACAGATAAATTGACCACTGCCTAATCATATACTTTAGATCACAAAGTTGTAATATGGAGCATCGGAAACAGCAAGCACACCATGAGGTTACGAGGACACAAGCGTGTAGTCAATGGTGTTTCCTGGAACCCAAAATATCCCACGTAATTTTTCACTGTCTATGGCCTTTTGGTTACCATCTTTGTTATTCTCAGTAGAAAACTTCCCTCCATTCATTGCGAATGAAGTTAATGATGATAAATTAGCTTCTCTTCGGGAGTGCATCTAGAGATACTTGTTGTAGATCTGCTCTTTGTCTCCAAAACTTCTTTGCTACATTTAGATTGACTTGCCTAATTTTCAGCTTATTAGCAAGCTGCTCAGAAGATATGACAGTGCGTATATGGAATATTGCGCGTAATGATCTGCCTCCTGAACCACCCACGTCCAAAAAGAAGGGTCACAAGAAAAAAACGGGTAAACAACCGACAAATGGCAAGGATAAGAAAAATGGAACCACGTGACAAAGAATCTCATCCATGGTTGTGTCCACTTTCTCACTGTCTGGTCACTTAATATGGTATTTTTGCATTGTATTTTACTACTCGTACTATGTTACGAATCGTGTCTTTACAATTTCATAGGGTATTTCTTTTTAGCGTTGTAAAGTGTTAGCTTTTTTTCCCCAAATCTGCATTCATGTGCACAAAGCTCGAAGTAACTATGTGCCTTAGTCTGTGTATGTTCGTAGCATGCGATTCAGCGAGCGCTGGTCGCTTTTGAGTCGGTGTCTCCCAAACTGTGAATATTTTTACATCGTGTATAATGAAACTGCTTGTATTGACTTGTAAAATTTTGTAATCAACAATGTTCAAAAGGTGGTGATTGGTTTAATCAGCACGTTTCAGCTATTCCCCTTCTCATTGCCGTTTTATGTAGACTTTCACTTTGTCCGTTTTATGGCAATTATATATGAGTTATAGTCAACCTCAAGCTCGGCTTTTTTACGCTCAGGATCATAAGACTCGCCGACAATCACGTCGAATGAATGTATATGTAAAGCGAACACATGTCAATGAATATGTGATTTCATGTTGTTAATCCTGTTGAAGCATTACTTCATTACACATCGTTGTTGGAAACTAATGCAATTACCACACAAAAGCTTGCACATCGTAACAACAAAATCTGTTCGTAAACTGTGGTCAAATGGCAAGAATTTAAAGACGCGCACAGCGAAGTGCATTCATGAGTGTTCCGCATATACGAAATCGTCACAACCGTCAAGATTCGGCTAGCGGAAACATCTGAGACCGTAGTCACACCGTAGTCAAGCAAATAACATAAAAACAACATTACACGGAAT